AAAGTATGGTTAGGAGATAATGGCATGGTGCAAGCTATTGGAATTGGCTCCATTGTGGTGGAGATTGTTGTGAAGAATCAAATGAAGAAGATGAGATTGAAGGAAGTGTTACATGTGCCAAAGATGAAGAAGAACCTTCTTTCGGTGAGTAAACTTGTTTCTCATGGTTGTAAGGTGCAATTTGATATGAATGGATGCTTTGTGAAGACAATGGATGGAGATAATCTTTTGAAAGGCTATAGAGATGGCAATCTCTACTTCATCAATTGTAAGAAGGTGAATGGAGTTGAAGTGGCGCATTTGCTAAATTTCCACAAGATCAAGACAAGTTTGGCATTTGGCATCGACGCCTTAGTCATTTGAATGCCAAAAGTATGAAGGAGCTCCAATCCATGGTTAGTGGCTTAGATCTTGGTCAATCATGGACAAATCTTACTTGTGAAGGTTGTATTCAAGGCAAACAACAAAGAGCTTCATTTTCAAGTGGAGTTGCAATACGTGCAACCAAATTATTAGAGATTGTGCATTCTGATGTTTGTGGACCTATGAGGACACCATCATTGGCAGGATTAAGATACTTTGTTACATTTATTGATGACTTTTCAAGGAAGGTGTGGATATTCATCCTTAAATCCAAGAGTGAATGCTTTTCAAAGTTTAAGGAATTTAAGGCACTTGTGGAGAAGCAATGTGAGTACAAGATCAAGATGTTGCGTACAGACAATGGAGGTGAGTATTTGTCAAAGCATTTTAATGAATATTTGAAGATTCATGGTATTGCAAGACAAACTTCCACTCCCTATACTCCACAACAAAATGGAGTTGCTGAAAGAGTAAATCGAACTATTGTGGAGATGGCAAGGTGTATGATTCATGCTCAAAACCTTGGGCATGAGTTTAAGATGGAAGCTGTGGTGAATGCAGTGTATATAAGGAAAAGGTGTCCTACAAATGCACTTACATCAATGACTCCACAAGAAGCTTGGAGTGGGAGGAAACCTTCTGTTTCACACATGAGGACTTTTGGATGCATTGCTTATGCAAAGGTACCAGATTGTATGCGGCCAAAATTTGATGCAAAAGGTACAAAATGTGTGTTTCTTGGATATTGTGAAGGTACCAAGGCATATAGGCTAATGTGTTTGGATACCAAGAAGATCATCAAAAGTCGTGATGTTGAATTTATGGAGCATAAAAGTGCTTGTGAGCACTTGGAGATGTGTCCAAGTGGGAGTAATGGTGTGTTTGTGGACACATCTTCAATTTCAGTAACGAAAGAAGAAGAAGAAGATGAAGACAATGAAGAAAGTGCAGATTTGAATCAACATGAAGAACCAAAGAAGATGAAAAAGAAGAAGAAGAAAGTATATACTATTAGTATGACAAACAATGAAGAAGTTGAAGATGATGATGATGATGAGGAATACCAACCTTTGAGTGAGAAGAGACAAGGTTCAAAAGAAAAGAAGGTTGGAGAGCATCAAGGTGAATCTTCTTCAAATGATAGGAGATATCCTACAAGAGAAAGAAAACAACGTGGTGAATGGTCGAAGGACCATATCTTTCCTCAAGTAAGTGAAGAACATGCCAATGTTGCACTCATTGCTGATCCATTGAATATATGTGATGCTATGAAGTCTACGAATGCGTTGAAGTGGGAAGAGGCTATGGAAGAAGAGTACAAATCTCTCAAGAGCAATGGAATATGGGAATTGACTCAACTTCCACCAAATCGATCTTCAATTGGTTGTAAGTGGGTGTTTAGAACCAAGAGGGATGCAATGGGTGATATTGTGAGATATAAGGCAAGGCTAGTTGCCAAAGGATACTCACAAGTTGCTGGTGTTGATTTCAATGAGACATTTGTTCCCGTGCCTAAGTTCACCACCATTAGAACCATTGTGGCAATTGGGGCAACAATGGACTTGGAGATGCATCAAATGGATGTGAAGACGGCTTTCTTAAATGGAGAGTTGGAAGAAGACATCTACATGGATCAACCTCAAGGATTTGTAGAAAAAGGCAAGCAACATCTTGTTTTGGAATTTGCAAGAAATCGTGCTAACAAGACCATCACAATGAGCCAAAGGAAGTACATTGAAGGAGTGTTGAAACGATTCAACATGGAGGATTGCAAGCCTATTGGAACACCTTTGGAGTCCAATTTGAAGTTGATGAAGCTCACGGATGAAGAGTTTGCACAAGTTGAAAGCCAAATGCAAGGTATTCTATACAAGGCAGCAGTTGAGTCACTCATGTATGCAATGGTTGGCACAAGGGTGGATCTTGCTTATGCGGTGAGTGTCGTAAGTCAACACATATCAAAAGCAGGACCACTTCATTGGGCAACCGTCAAGAGGATCATGAGGTACTTGAAAGGCACTTTGGACTTCAAATTGTGCCTTGGAGGTGAAAGTATTGCTTTTCATGGTTATTGTGATGCGCATTGGGCAGGAGATGTAAATGATAGGCGGTCAACAACAGGCTATATATTCTTTGTTGGAGTGGGAGCAATTTCATGGAATTGCAAGAGGCAACCCACAATTGCAAGGTCCACAATGGAGGCGAATTACATGGCAGCAAGCCACGGTGCAATGGAAGCAATATGGTTAAGGCAAGTTTTGGAGGATATTGGACTTGTGCAATTGGAAGCAACTCCATTGAATTGTGTCAATCAAGGATGCCTTGCTTTTGCAAAGAATCCAAAGCATCATTCAAGAACCAAGCACATTGACATTCAACATCACTTTATAAGAGAGAAGATTGAAATGGGAGTGATTGACTTGAAGTATTGTGCAACAGAAGATATGCTTGCTGATTTGTTAACAAAGGCATTGGTCAAAGATAGACATCATATGTTGACAAAGGCATTAGGTTTGAAGGGCTTTGACAATTAGCAAAGTGGGAGTGTTGAGGTAAAAGATAAAGATGTTGAAATAAATAGGTAATAGTAAAAGTAGAATAAGTTATCTTATAGAGAATATTCTCTTAGGTAAGTTGCTAATGGTCAAAGGCAACTAAGGACTAAGTGGCGGCTAGGGTCTCGACAGGCGGCTAGGTTTAATGTCTCGACAGACGGCTAGGTTTAGAGTCTCGAGAGGCGGTTAAGTTTAGGATCTCGAGTGGCGGCTAGTAATAGATGAATGTGGATGAAGTCTATACATATTGGATGTGAACTCTGATTATAAGTAACGGGTGTTGGAAGTAAGAGACATCTCATTCCACACTTCTCTTATGTGCAACCTTGCTGATTTCTACTTACTTGTGTTATGCTTATAGTATTTCTTCAATAAAAACTTCTTGTCTCTTTGTCAATATGATCGTGAGAATGCCATAAAAATTGGGGAAATAAAACTTCTTGTCTCTTTGTCAATATGATCGTGAGAATGCCATAAAAATTGGGGAAATAAAACTTCTTGTCTCTTTGTCAATATGATCGTGAGAATGCCTTAAAAGTGGGGAAATAAAACTTCTTGTCTCTTTGTCAATATGATCGTGAGAATGCCTTAAAAGTGGGGAAATAAAACTTCTTGTCTCTTTGTCAATATGATCGTGAGAATGCCATAAAAATTGGGGAAATAAAACTTCTTGTCTCTTTGTCAATATGATCGTGAGAATGCCTTAAAAGTGGGGAAATAAAACTAGGGTGCATTTCTCCAGTCCGCCCATGTCGAAGGGCTTCAAGAAGGAGAAACTGTCCGCTGGAAAGATGGCTCCCAACAGGAAGAACTGTTCGTTTATGACATACTTGAACTCCGCTGTCTCCTCGTTCTCTTCTTCCGGATCATTCGAGAAGTACCGATTGCTGAGCACCATTCGCGCAATGAAGTTGACCGTCAACATCCGAAACTTCTTGTTGATTTCAATCGCTGCGTAGGGGTTCTGAGTGCAATCTCGGTAGATCGAGTTCATCATGCAATCCATCTCATTCGCTGTCAGTTGCGCTGCGAACTTCATTCTCTTCGGAGCTAGAACCTCCTGCATGAATATCCTTCGGAGGTTTCGCCATAACTTATTGTTCTGCCCAAATGCAATACCTACAAAAAGCGAATTGAAGCTTGAAAAATAACACGTTTAGAATTCAAAATCTCGTCCTCTTCATCTTGCTGCAACTGCGCGAACATACTATCTCCGGATGAGCCAACCTTGTCTATTCGTAACAAGGAGATCTGTAACAGTCAGCTGAAGACGTTGCGAGAGCGCCAGATCATGTTTCTTAAAGATCTCTCTGGACATTGCTTCAATTGATACGACCACTCCCCCTTTGAGTCCGAATTTCAAATGCAATATCCCTTGTTACTTCGCAGCTAGTTCAGCCATGGACTGATGAGCATGTGTGCCGAGTAGATGAAGGTGACCGATCAACGGCCACTCCGGCGGAGCTGGAGGCAACTTTCTGCAATGCCAGATGATGTGCAAAACAAATTGAGATTAAAACATAATCTGGGAACAAAATCGAGTCGCTAAAAATCTGACGCTAGAACCGATTCCATTTTCTTGCTTCTATACTGCACAACGTGAAGAGTACCTTGAGGAGAGCCGTCGCACGAATATAGTCGGGACGATGGACAGCAATGCTAATACCACCAACGACAGATTCAAACCAAGCGGGGATTTCTCCAGTTGATTTCGCACGCTGATCAATACTGAGAGCACACTAGAATCATTGAAACCCGACAGCGTTATCGTGAATTGCCTCACCAGGCGAGACCGCAAACTCACAAATGCACCTGGAAACCAAGCAAGCTTCGAAACGACCCCAGTTTCTTGCTCAATTGTGTTCAGCTTCACTCAGTATCATTGACCCTCTCATACCCCTACAAATACTTCCCCTCTAAGGATCGACATACTCAGCTCCTTTTAAGCCAGCACTCCACACTCCATCTCCAAGACAGGTTTTAAGTTTACATGGAGACCTCGTTCACAAGAAGGCGATTGTACACTTCAATTCGCAAGCCCATTCTGCTAGAAACACTATCCCAAAGAATTTACCCGTCAGAATGGCACCGGAAGGAAGCCGGTTCCCACCACCCTGACACCCATTATGTTCCATGACTAGTACACCGTGCGGGTCAACCACGCACAGAGCCGCACTTCGGCTGATATCCCCAGAGATTCGGCGAGGAATCAGGAAAGAGGCATAGATTGCGAAAACGCTCGAGGAATAAGTCTGAAACAACTGGACAGATCCTCCAAAGGCTTCTAGAGCCGTCCTACTGACCCCTTAAACCGTGCTTTGGATGAGTTCGTGCGCTTGACATGTAACCTTAATCCCACTGTGTTGCGGACGTCAGACACTTCTATAAATGCGTGCTACCAATTCCTAAACTAATCCACAATTAGCACAGATAGCCTCGGAGCTGGATGGAATGTTGCTCGAACCAAACCAGAATCTAGACTTGCCACAATCAAGCAGACGCTAGCTGCTTCCTCGTGGCGAATTAGGTTTCTGTTTTTGCCACAAGTCTTCTATTTGAACGAGAAATCCGGGAGCGAGTTAAGTGGAAATCACAATAAATGACGGTTTGGACAAGCTACAAGTAAATGACCATGCAATCTGCTTCCAAAAACTCGTATTGTATGGCTAAGAAAAGAAACACAGTACACTCCTCAACAATGCGTAATCTCTGTGGACCTTGCCTTTCGGCATCGATCTGTTGCATGCAATCTGGGAATCTCTTCTAAAACAAAATAAAATTAGCACATGAGTAGAGTGAGTTGATTTGTGCTGCAATCATGTTGTTAGTATAAGAGGACATTTTTGTTACATTGAACCCAAATTGTCCATGTTCATGGTGTTTGTGCTGCAATCATGTTGTTAGTATAAGAGGACATTTTTGTTACATTGAACCCAAATTGTCCATGTTCATGGTGTTTGTGCTGCAATCATGTTGTTAGTATAAGAGGACATTTTTGTTACATTGAACCCAAATTGTCCATGTTCATGGTGTCAAGAATGAAGGGTTTTGGTTTTTTAATTTATCAAGTTGTGGATATTTGGTAGATTTTTACCAAATATTTTTTACTTCAAGTAAAGGAATTGTTAATCATTTGTTAAAAACCTGGTTGATAAATTAGTTTAAATTTTTACTATTATTGTGCAAAATTTACAATTTAAGGATACCATGTCTTGTATATATGTGTGTATATATATATATATATATATATCTATGAGAGAGAGAGAGCTTAATAGTACTAACCAAAGTACTAAAAATTGAACTTCAAGTTAGGGCATTGTATACAATCATTGATTTTTGGTTTAAATCGTTTTTGGAAGATAATTTTACCCATTACAATTCAATGCATCATATTGTTAGGTTGGACCATATCTTTTATTGTAAAGTGAGATTACACATTCCAGAAAATTTTATTCATGAAATTATATTTATATATATATATATATATATATGTTTTTTTATATTTTAAAAGAAGGCTTATTCATAGTTTCACTATATATATATATATATATATATATATAGATAGATATACATTAAACTAAAATGACTAAATTTTTTACTTTTTTATTTTTTTGGAATCAATTCTATTTAACAAGAACTTTAAAGATTTTTATTAGAATGTGTAGACCACATAATAAGAAGATCTTAGTTTATTGTTGCACAAAAAATTGGTTTGCATTTATTAAGTGGATATCATAAGCACACAAAACCGACTACAATGCCCCACTCTTTTTACAATATTATAGAACCTTTAAGAGTCTTATAGACATCTGTACAACTTTTGTATATGTTTAAAATAATTTAAAAATAAATATAACATTCCATAAGAATATCAATTTTTTTATAATTGACCAGAAGTTTCTAAAAGATTACGTACTCTTTTCACATAGTAAAATCCAAAATTATAGAGATTGAATTAGGGGACAAAGTTGTACTATTGTAAGGCATAATTTTTTATAATGTTACAGGGATTTATCTAAAAATAAGAGCTTTGCACAAATTTTGTTTTTTCATATGATGCATTAAGTAACGCCACAGTAGAAGAATGAATTGGAAATTATATTGTAGAGAATTCTACAAAAAGAAAACTTTAAAGTTAAATATAATAGATCTTTTATTTTTCTTTAAAAAAATGAGGTGTCAAAATTATATTATGTAGCATCCATGCTTTTCATAGTTCACACATTAGGTATCTTTTAAATCTTAAATTTATTTTTAAACATTAGAGCAAATAAACTAATGTAATTTAAGCCTTAGTTTACTAGAAGAAAATCAAACAAATTCTCTTCTTTCATATATATATATATATATATATATATAGATTTATTAGTTTTTCTATCTTCCTATCTCTAATATACTATTTTTAATTTTAAAAATTTGGAATATAGGAAATACCATTGTTGTACTATAAACTGAAAAACACTCCATTGCATGGACAATGATGAATGTGGTTGGTTTTTATTGGATATGGAGAAATGAATCTAGACGTCACCTTTTTTTTTTTTTTTTTTTTTTTTTTTCTTTCTTCATGATGGTTAGAATGGGTGGGTTGATTTAAGGAGAATGTTAAAAAATTGGGTCTATTTAACATTCTCCTTAATTTATATATTTAAATTATGGTAAAAAGTATTTTGTACTAAGATTATATTCATGTCATAAAACTTGTTCTCTTGTTACGTCGCTCAACAGTAGAACCCATTTTCCAAGTGTCAGTCAACAACCTACGTGGTACATGCTTCCCTGGTTCCTTTTTGTGTCTCTTTCCTTGACATTCTGGAAATGCTGTTCTGCATAATTTTTGTGGGGGAGAGAAAGAGACGTCATTTTTGGTGCGGAGATGGTGCGTGTGCGCCAATTTGCACCATTGGTGAGAAACTGCGAAGGTTGGTTCATCAGAATTGCTATCAGAATCCCGCTTGTTGTTTACAAGGTTCTGTGTGTGTGTTTGTGTTTTTGTGTGTTCAGTAGCTTTAACTAGGATTGCAGTATGTCTGTTGTTGCAACAGATGGTGGTCCGGATTCGTTATCCTATTTTTGTGTTGAGGAAGAGAGGGCTAGGAATTCCATACGTGTGGGGATGATTTGAATGCGAGTGGGCAAGGGATTTGTCTGATTTGTCTGATTAGTCTGATGGCGGGAAGACGAGTGGAAATTGGCCCTGATTGAGCTTTTGTTCAGTATGTGAATAGAGTATGTTAGATAATTGATTGCGTTAATGGGATGATGCTTTGAGTGTTTTGAATTGAGGTTGGGGAGGCGACCCAATCGACACGACAGAGAATTGGTTTACAATGCTCTGAATTTGCATTAGGGTTTAAGGGATCCGAAAATTTAGGTCAGGAGAAGTGTGGGTGCGTTTTGTGTGCAGGAATGGTCTTTATCTTTCCCAATGTTTTTTTGTTTTTGTTTTTTTTGTTTTTTCTTTTATTTTATCTTAGGAAGAGAATATCGAACCAATGTTGCATGGCATAATGCTAATGTGCCAGTTATCCTGGAGAGTGAGGGGATGGTTACGATAAGGTGACAGTTTACAATTTGTCATCTAGTTGCCTTTTGGAAATTGTCATTACAAGGTCCGGAAGATTAGTGAGAGGATTTTGTTTTGGTGTTTTGTCAGTGAGTTGGAGTTGAAACTTTCACTTCTGAACGTTTTTAAACCGTAACCCTAAGGTACTTCACGCCTCACAAGACTCGCAAAAAATTTACAGTTTTGTGAGGTTTATGATTGTGAAAAAATTTATGTGCTAGTCGTTAATTTAGATTGTAGTGTCTTCTCATCATTGGCGATGTCAACATGGCAAAACGTGTATGAAACTTATTTTTCCGCGGGGATACCCTAACAATCTTCAACCAGTTTTCGCTCTTCATCCATTTCAATCAAGGTTGATATGTATCATTACGTGAGATAGTTTTACTCCAGACCATATTGTCATTTTTGGCATAATTAGGCACTTATCTGTTGTTTTCAGTGGCTTATATCATCTCGTCAATGATCCATCCATGTAGAATCTAAATGTCGTGGTGCGCTGACTGTTTGCTTGGTTGCATCACGTACAGTGTTCTGAAAGCGTGTCAGCGCAATGTCAAACCAGCAAGTAGGAGCAGTGGCGCTCATAGCACTCGCCTCGTGGGCGTTATCAAAGCTAGGATACTCCTTGATAGCAGCTCCCAGGGAGTCAAAACTTACCCTCTATGTCCATGAGATTCGAGCACCTCCCGATGCCACTCTTCTAGCAGCTGCAGGGACAGGACAGGACGACCTCACCAGGATTGGCTTCGGGAGCTTCCTTGTTTTCGACAACGAAATCAGGGAGAGTCCTGAAGCCAACAGCGTCTTGCTCGGCCGGCAGAGAGGGTTCGGTCCCATCAGTGATCTAGAAGGCAAGCGAGGCATTCAGCTCATATCCACTGTTGTGTTTGGGAGGGGATCGAGCTATAATGGGACTCTCACCTTTCAAGGCAACATGGGTGGCCCTGAACCCACTTCTGAGCTTGCAGTTATAGCTGGAACAGGAGATTTTCGAGGAGCCAAAGGGTATGCCATTGTCGAAACCGTGAAGACTGGTCCACTGAGAGCAGTGTTTCGGTGGAACCTGTTTCTGTCTTATTAAGGTCCAAGTTATGGGGTTTTTTGTAACTGTTGTGAACGTTTCAGTTGTATCTCATTTGTATCATTTGTATCATTTGTATCAATGAAAGCTTCTTGGTCGATATCCACTGCTTTCAACTTGGTGCGTCATACATTTTAGCATGCATATTGTTCGTATTAGTGGGGGTTTTGAATTGATGTTTTTCACTGCAGATGCAATAACTGTTACAACAGCTCTTGCTACTGCTTTCTGTGTTGTGATGCATTGATGCTTAAGAGTAGACAATCAACTCTGACTACTTGTTAGTGGGGTCTCTTTAATGAAGTTTGATAGCTTATGCGATTGGCTTTGAATCTCATGAATTTTTATTTCAAGATCTATCGTAAAGAATCTATTGCAATTGTTCATGCCTATAAAGAATGTCACCGTTGATTTAAAATTTCAAAAACATCTTACGAAATAGACATCATTGTAATAAATAGAAATCACGTCTATTTTGTTTATTTTTATTATTGATTGTTAAGGGTAATTATTTTAAAATTAACTAAAATATAGCAAAAAAATTCATTTGATTTTACTGTTACATATTTATTAATCATTGGATTAGTTGATAAACTTAAAAATTTGAGATGATGTTTTTAATCACCACAGAAGTATAGGTACTAATTTTTAGTTAAATAAACATCAAGTGCATTATAAACTATTAAATTCGTTGCAAACAAAAGATTCAATGCATACTAAGGATTAATCGAAATGTAGGTTAAGATTGTGACGAAAGCCAAGATGAGTGACCTTGTATAATTTTAAGTATAACAAACTAACAAAGATTATAAATTATACAATACAAGAGTAAAAACTGATCTTTTTATTTTATAAGCTTAAGTTTTTTCGAAACTCAAAAATTGTTAAGTCAATAAAAATACCAAATATCATATTGCAATAGTAGCATTAGCCAGTATGATTACAAAAAATAATTCATTATAACATTAAAAAAATCATCAATAATTATAAAAAGTAACAATTTATTAATTTTTGAAAACTGCAAGCTCCAAGAAAATCCAGTTGTAATTTCAGTTTATTCTTTTAAAGAAATGTCACAAATTTTATAAATAATAACCATATATATATATATATATATATATATATATATATTTATGTATGATATATATATATGTTTATGTATGATATATATATATATATATATATATATATATATATCATTTTAGTTATTTTAAATCATCAAATATTATCAAAATATTATTCGAAATCTTCAAATTGGTCTGAAAGTGAAAAATATTAAAAATACTTATTAGACAATGATTTTCTATTATTTTTTTCTTGAAATAAATATATTAAACTTATTAAATAGATTTTTAATAGTTGACACAGAATTTCAATAATTTTATTTTAGGGCTATCTTATAGAGTAATTCCATTGATTAGATTTAAATTCTGGTAATGAAAATTTCATTCAGAAATCTTTTTGAAAAGAGTTTTTTTTAGAGATAGAACGATAAAAAAATAAAAACAAAAAATGTCAACAAAATAAAGCTAAAGAAACTTACATGTTAATGTGTTAAATCATGTGATTTACTTTTAACAGATTCATGAATCCATAATATATATATATATATATATATATAGAATTAGAATTCTCATTTTAATAATTGTATTTGCACGTAATGATTTTTTTGGTTGAAAATTTGAGATTTTAAATCTTCATATTCAACATCTTAGTTTATTATAGAATTCTGTTTCTTTCTTTAGAAATTACTCCTTGTAATGATTCTTTGGTTCTTAAGTAATCAGAAATTGGCCCATCCTTATAAATCTGATATATGCCACTAGATTCTTATTTATTCTTGAAATTTACTTTTCTAAAAATAATTCAGTTATGTTTATATGTATTTCCAATAAACTTGTATAAAGTAGTAATAATTTATCATAATACATCTTCTCTCACTAACATGCCATCTAACTTGTGTGGCACCATGTTGACTTAGATATAGTTTCCTGCTCAATTCATATACATCTATACTTCCAAAAATTGAAGTTTTATTTTGTAAACATCAAGAACCTCCCCACATGCCCTTTGTTGAGTCTGTCTAATTCAATGAGACATCTCAAAATGACAAGGTCATTAACATAATTAATACGATTAATATTAAAAAAATATACAATGCTGTTACGAGTAATTATTTTTTGTACGAGTTATATAAGACTTGTTATACTGGATCTTAAATTCCAAAATGGATTCTGGAGCCAGATCATTAGAAACACGGTGAAACTAATTCACCAAACTGCAACAAACCCACCTGATCGTCTACGAGGACCGGCAAGAATACTTCGTTGCACGTCCACACATGAACCCAGTGATAGTGATTCACACAGTTGCACTAAATCAAACAGGCCCATGTTGTCAGAAAAAGACACACGCGAAACAATCTAATAATCTGAGCACAAATCAGTTAACATCATGCGGTGGACCTTAGGGCCGTCTAGTTGGTGATTGTGATACTTGGATCTATATGAATATTATGAGATCTTAGTACTTGTAGCACAGAAACGATGTCGCGTTGACGGGAGTTTCTATTTTTCTGCAGAAGTGCTGCGGATATTGACGAAGCATACGATCCTCGCTCATGACCCATGCAGGTTACTGATTTCCATTTTACCAACAGGGTTTGACTTCATCGGTTCCTTGTCCTCCGTCACGCTGTCACCGTCGTCAATATAAAAACCGCAATTCTTCAGGTTAAGACCTGCAGTGCAAGACTCGGCGTCTTGTGTGAGCACACCGAGGGAGAAGTCAATTCAGGTCGTCGTCGACTTACCGCCAAGGCGGCCACATGACCAGGTGGGTCTTGGTCGTCGCATGGAAAGAGTGGAGTGAAATATAAGGTGAAGTCTAGAAACTCCTGGAGTACAAGCAGTTTAACGAAGGTTAGCAGCTCGCCCAAGCTGTTGAGTGAGATCGGTTCCCGCTCTTGTGCTTTATTCTGTACTGCAAATTGGTACAGAATCTAGTGCAGGTTAGTCGGGTCGAGAGAAATTCGAGCATCATGGAAGCTGTCGTCAACAACGGTTGTGAGTTCGATGGCGACAGATCTCGCAAGATAAAGACAGTGGATGAGCCGTTCTGCATACTTGGAGCAGCTAATACTGTGGCGAAGATCGACGACCCCCTGAACTGGGGCAAAGCTGCAGACGCATCGAAGATAAGTCACCTGGAGGAGGTAAAAACCCTTGTCAGAATCTTCTTTGAGGCGGATACTGTTCGCCTGGAGGGTCAGAGCTTGACCGTGGCCGATGTCGCAGCGATTGCTCGCCGACACGAGGTGCAAGTCCAGTTGGACTCCGCCGTTGCGAAGGCTCGGGTGGACGAAAGCTCCGACTGGGTGCAGAAGAAGATCATGAAGGGATCTGATATTTATGGTGTCACCACCGGCTTCGGAGCCACTTCCCATCGCCGCACCCAGCAAGGCGTGGAATTGCAGAGGGAACTCATCAGGTCAGTCTCCAAGACTCAGCTCCACACGCTCTTGCAAGGTCACGTCAACTCTGATAACTTGTGCAACAGCGTGTGAAGGATGTCACCCAAGTACATCTCAAAACAGGATGGTCCAATCTATTCGAAGAGAAATGAGAATGCGAATGAGGAACGGCAGCTCTGTACGATGATGAGATGTCCAGATTGCCTCTGGATCATGCATAACGGCGAATCCGTCATCCAGTTGTCTGAACTTGGTGTCAGATTGATTATAATGTGAAGGATTGCTGAAATACGTTGGTTTCTCGGCTTGCCAGGTTTCTGAACGCGGGAGTAGTAAACTCTGGCAACACTCTCCCGGTGAGTACAACCCGGGCTGCGATACTTGTTAGAACCAACACCCTTCTTCAGGGTTACTCTGGTATCCGATGGGAAATCCTAGAAGCCATGCAGCAACTTCTGAACGCTCGATTGACTCCAAAGCTTCCTTTGAGAGGAACCATAACAGCTTCCGGAGATCTCGTGCCTCTCTCGTATATCGCAGGTAACCGATCATCTCTACCATAGGATTCCTCGCCCCACGCAACATGCAAGTTGTATCGTCTAGGATTCATGCTCTAGGGTCAATTTTCTTGAAATTCAGACCGCAGATGATTTGCAGCGCAATATAAACTGAAGGGATCTTTTTGTACACAACTGAGTTTACAGAGCAGGATTTCAGAAAACAAAGTGATTCATTCTTTTGTTATCCACAGGACTCTTGACAGCGCGACCAAACTCCGAGGCAGTAACTGAGGAGGGTAAATCGATAACTGCAATGGAAGCCCTGAGGAAGATCGGCAGGGATCAACCATTTGAGCTACAGCCCAAGGAAGGCTTGGCTATGGTGAATGGAACTGCTGTTGGATCTGCATTGGCTTCCGTTTGCTGCTTCGATGCAAACATCCTAGCAGTTCTGGCCGAAGTACTGGCTGCTCTCTTCTGCGAGGTGATGCAGGGAAAGCCGGAATTTGCCGACCCCCTCACTCACAAGCTGAAGCATCATCCAGGCCAGATGGAGGCAGCAGCAATCATGGAGTGGGTATTGGACGGGAGCTCGTACATGAAAGCAGCGGCAAAATCGCATGAAACCGATCCGCTGAACAAACCCAAGCAAGACCGTTATGCTCTTCGAACTTCACCTCAGTGGCTAGGCCCTCAGGTTGAAGCGATTCGCAATGCCACACATGCTATCCAGAGAGAGATCAACTCTGTTAATGATAACCCGCTAATCGATGCAGCAGGAGACAGGGCAGTTCACGGAGGCAACTTCCAGGGCACTCCAATCGGAGTCTCCATGGACAACATGCGCCTCGCCATTGCCGCCATCGGCAAGCTCATGTTCGCCCAGTTTTCCGAGCTTGTCAATGATTTCTACAACAACGGCTTGCCGTCCAATCTCAGTGGAAGACCAAATCCTAGCCTGGACTACGGAATGAAGGGCGGTGAAATCGCCATGGCCTCTTACCTGTCGGAGCTCAACTACCTGGCCAACCCAGTCACCACACATGTGCAAAGTGCGGAGCAACATAACCAGGATGTAAACTCCCTGGGGTTAGTGTCTGCACGCAAGACGGACGAAGCAATTGAAATCCTGAAACTCATGAGCTCCACATTCTTGGTCGGACTCTGCCAGGCCATTGATCTTCGCCACATCGAAGAGACAATGCAAGCCACTGTCAAGAACGTAGTTAGCCAAGTTGCGAAGAAGACACTCTTTATGGGCCCGAATAGCATCCTCCTACCCGCCAGATTCGCCGAGAAGGAGCTCCTCCGAGTCGTCGACCATCAGCCCGTGTTCACGTATATCGACGATCCATCCAGCCAGACTAACCCCCTCATGGAAAAATTGAGGCAAGTTCTGGTACAATATGCACTCAAAAATCCTATCAACGAGAAAGACCCGGAGACCTCCGTGTTCAACAGAATTACCGCCTTCGAAGACGAGCTCAAGGAAAGGCTGGCTTACGAAGTGCCACTCGTCCGTGAGGCTTATGACAATAAGGGCATCTCTTCCATCCCCAACAGAATTGAGAACTGCAGAACGTATCCGCTTTACAAGTTTGTCCGCACTGGTTTGAAAACCCAGCTCCTTTCCGGACTGCGCACTATCTCCCCCGGCCAAGAGATCGAGAAAGTTTACGATGCAATCTGCGAGGGCAAGCATGTTGCTCCTCTCCTGCAATGCATCGAAGGGTGGACTGGCACCCCTGGACAATTCTCATGATGAGTTTAATGTGGTCGCCGTGGCCGGAGTCGGTATTTAGTAAACCTCAGCAACAAAGAAAATATATACGTAATAACATTCTGTGAAGCATATTCAGCTTGACAGTCGGAGCCCGACAACCGATTCAAGGAGCCGAACTCCCTTAAGTACCTTATGACGTGAGTAGATTGTCCGCGCCGGGCAATATCAATTAGAAACATACCAGACAGTCGATTTGGAGAATATTAAGTAGTGGAGCAGAAGCAACAGAGGCCTAAAGAGGTGAAGCAGGATGGTAAGCTTGCTGAGGTTGCTATAATTCAATTACTTGGCATCTAGCTAGAGACCTGGAAATTTGCGTGTTCAACGACCAAATGTTCGTTACAATCGAAAAGAACTTGAACCATTTTTATACGCGCCCTCTCTACCTTTGCAAGTCGTCGAGATACTCTCTCAATCATTATATCGAAATGGATCAAAATCTGAAGCTCATCGTCAAATTGGTATCTGAACTTCAGGGATGCAAGGCACAGCGATAACAACCAACGCAACTGCACAATAAGCTTGTACATAAGCTCGCATCAAACAATTCATCCTAAAAACCCATACTAATGAACACACGCATCTCCTCCTTTAACCTGTTCCAGCCCATGCAGAATTCGATATCCAATATTCTGTGAGATTGGGTCCCGCAAATCCCAGTGCATAATCAAATTGACCCGACATTGCTTATGTATGCCACGAGACGGTGAGATATTCAGGATCTTTTAAACTTTGAGGGCATGCTGAGTTCAGTGAGCGCTTTCGTATTTGTTAGGGCCTTTTTGAGAAGTTTCTGGAACCGATCCTTTCTTTTCTTATTTTCAGTGGTGAATTATGAAGAGCGAGCGTTTTGTAAGTTAGTTGTGTGCAGAATGTGGCTGTGCGGTTATTGAATTGCATCTCGGTAGGAAGTATGACGGTTGCTATTGCTAGTAGAGTCGCACTGACTGGAGCTTTGAGTGGGAGGGAGTATGTGTCAGTCACGATCCCATTTGGGTCGCTTTTAGTCGTCAATTCGCGCTCTAGGGCTCAGCTGCAAGCATGGCTTGTGCCGAATCGCAAAGAACTGATAGTTGGGGACCAGAGGCGAGGTGTTCACGGCTACGTGTCCCGGTCATCACCGAGCCGAGGAATTGCGGCGAATGCTATTGAGGATAAGGTTTCTCGAAGTAGGCTCCCACATTCCAACAAGAAAGACGATGGCGAGGCCTTGAAGGTGGGAATTACACGAGAGTATAGAAACCAATTCAAGATTCTGAGTTGCCTGTCTTTGGGTTTAGGGTTTGAGGGTCGATGCACTAGTTACATCAATTTCGTTCTTGGGTATAAGACTTTGATGCAAATTTTATTTTCGCGATCGAAAACTTTACGTGAACATTATGGGTTTTCCTTGCCCAGCTGTCGCAAGACATAGGAATACTCAAGGACAGTGAAGCTGCTGCCAGAATCCGTGAGAACTCCAACGAGTCCGAGAACATGGTTGACACCAAAATGAACCCCGTGTGTGATAAACTGATAGATGTATTCTTGGTAGAGAAGACAAAACCTGAGGATTGGCGAATTCTTATAGCATTTAGCAAAGAATGGCCTACAATTCGGCCTTACTTTTTCAGGCGCTGCGATTCTCAGGCGAAGGCAGCAGTCGACCCCAAGAAGAGGGCCGACCTGCTCAAACTTGTTCGGCAAATGAAAGAGGTATGTCATCGAATTTCCTAACGGCACTCATCTCCGAGGACACACTCATCTGGATATATCTTCGGAATTTGCACTGTGATTCTGGCCCCTTGAGTTCTATGGATCTGAAGTTTGGTTGGTGGTTGCTATTTCCAGGTGGATGATGATATGCAACGTCATGATAAAACCATAGCTATGCTCAAAGAATCTCCCCTAGAACTCGACACCATTGTCGCGCGCCACAGGCAGGATTTTACTGGAGATTTCTTCCAGCACCTTCACTTACGCATCGAGGCTTGTCGAAACGACGCCGAGAAGAGAGAAGGTGCGACATACAACTTCCACGGCTGTCACATCTTTCTCTTTCGTGTCTCTTAGGGAACTGTTTCCTCGTACATTCTGCAACTCATCCACACTAGTTGGGTTCGAGTGGCTTGATCTTTAGGACGTTTGATGTTTCTGACCAGGTACTAGATGTTTTTGTCCTACAGAACTCGAAACCCTAGCATCGAATTGTCTCGCAGCCGTTGAAGGACATGATAGAGCCTCAGTAGACGAGCAGAATTCAGACCTGGCGCAAATGAAATACGAGGACATTTTGAGCTCCCCTTCTTTGGAAGCAGCCACGGCCAAAATTGACCACCTCGCAAAGACGAATCAGTTGGACTCCACATTCATGCTCTTGATGACGAAAGCCTGGGCTTCAGCGAAAGAATCTACCTTGATGACAGATGAGGTCTATTTCCTATTTCTCAAACCTCAAACTCTAAACCTTAAACCATAGGAGCTTCATCTCTTAGTGGTTTTTATTGGTTGCCAAAAGGAAGAGGTTCACCTCAGTCTTTATCTGTAGCAATGCAAAATTCTGTCATATGGATTACAGCACCTGTATCATCATCAGAATCTCCCAAACTCATCAGTGCTTTTCACCAGTATACGAGCTATCTAAGAATTTTGAAGGATGAGCATTAGATTTACAGTATGAGTGCAATTCAAATTTTTTTTGTAAGCCTTGATGTCTGTAAATCTCACTAATGGTTCATTACATTGGGTTGTCTCGGCAGGCTAAGGACATTCTGTACTATCTGTATAAGCATGCAAGGGCAAACATGGCTAAGAGCGTCCCCAAAGAGGTTCACATCATACGCCATCTTCTCAGCATAGAGGACCCTTGTCAAAGGCTTGAAGAGATGGAGAAAGCATTTACGCCTGGCGATGAATTGGAAGGCATTTACACGTAAGATTCTAGTGCTTTGGATATGTTCAACTTATGAGAAACATACATTCGGTTGCTGTAGCCCTGCAACAAAATATCTCGGTTGTAAATGACCAATTCGTCACATGCATACCGCACCATTCCTGCATATTGTCTTTGTACGTTCCTGGGTCTCATTCTATTGAAATCATACTTTGTAAGCTAATGTTTTGATTGGTTGCAGAGAGCCGGAGAAACTGTTGGAGTGGATTAGTGCTGTTTTAGAGGCTTTCTATTCTAAACAAAAAGGAACGCTTATCAAAGAAGCTGAAGGTATGTTGAACCCTAGTTTTATATCTAGACTTGTGACTCTCAGAGATTTAATAGTTAAGTATTTTATTTAATGGGGTCCTTTCAGTTATCTGCATACCCTCTATGAACAGTGTTTTATAGTGAAGCTTGATTATTGCAATCGTTTTATTCTTCGGCCTTCCCTTAAACTTGTGTAGATTTTTTTAGTCCCTCTCTATGTTACGTGAACCTCAAAGTGTGCTCCTATATCTTCCTTGAATATTCACAAGCCGAGGCCTTGTGTTACCTATTCAAGATAGGTCCTGGTTCACAATTGAATGTTTAAAATATTTTTTGATAAGAATTGTTTTCAAAGAGTTTCATATGAAATTACTATTCCAATCGTTGCACTGAACCAAAGCAGCAAAAATTAAAACACAAATAACAACAAAACTAATATTTTTTAAATTAAAATTTTGTTACAATATTATTATTTTGATACAGATTTTTCTGACATCCTATTTGAGATTGAAGTTAAGCACCTCTTCTGTTATCAAAATATATGAGGAATCTAGAAACAACCTTGTCTAGCCCTCTATATATTGAAAAATTAAAAGATTTTGAAGCATTAATGTTAACTTATGGTTCAATATTTAAGAATAGGATTTTTGTCATAGTAATAAAATTATTGCCAAATCATAGGGATTATATAGATTGAAAGAGAAACTTCCACTTAATACAATCAAAAGTTTTAATAAAGTTTGGAATGAGTATTAATAAAAGTATATTTGATATTTTAATCTAATACATAGCTTTAAAGACTAAAACTATATTATTCAAAATCTGTTAAAGAGTAAAAAATGTGGTTTGAGCTCTAAACAAATTTGTTGAATTGATATTTATTGATGCCTTTATTGATAAATAGAGTCTTTTAATTATAAATTTTCATCAAATTGATTCTTAATTTTTTCATTCAAACTTTGAGGTTATATAATAGAAGTTAAAGAAACATCTTTAAATAATTAATGAGAATTTGTTTTTTGATTTAATTTGGAGATAAAATCTAGATTAATTTTTGATATTTTTTCTACTTTGATTTTTATTTTTTATTTTTATTTTTTTAATAAATTCTAAATCTTATCATTACTATTATTATTTTATTATTTAAAAAATATTTCTTACAAACATATCACTTTTAGATATGAATTTAGTTTTAGTCCATATATATTAACAATATACTTTATTTTGCTTAAAAGTAGATGTCATTATAGTTTCATAATTCACATTGATTGTTATAATTTGTTCTATTAATATAAAACTAGTAATAAAAAATAAATAAAATTTGAACTTAGTCACAAAATGAAATTTCCTTAGTCTTTATATGTTCTATTTAATGAGACTTTTATCTTTTTGTTTTTCTAATGCATAAGTGTCAGGGATATACATATAATTACCTATAAGAGTCGATAAAAGTATGTAAAAGTAGATAAAAGTAGATTAATTGTGCAATATCTTCTAGAGAAGCTTCCTAGAAGCTTCATAGACGCTGCTTTGACCTTATAGGAGTCCATAGTTGACTTTTAGGTTAGAAACTTGGTCAACAAGTTAGCCATGTGCCACACATGTTGGTAGCTTGAAGGACAAGCTAACTACGTAGTCCACTCATAGAAAACTTGTCTTGCAAGCAAAGACATGTGGCCTAGAAAGTCAACACATATTAGAGGTCTTATAGAATATCGCCATGTGGCTTCTAGTTAGATAGTATATATAGAGGCAAGAGTGAAGCTCTCTTCACTCTTGTCAATTCCTTTCTTGCTTCTAGTCTAGTTTCAAGGGTCTCTAGTTTTCTTGTCTTTTGGCAATAGCCATTCCAGTTTCTCTTTCAATATATATATTTGTTTATTTACCTCTCTTTGAGTGAAGGCTCACTTGTCTGAATTGTTTTTCAGCGAGTTCTTGTCCTTGACAGATTAACAAGAATACACTTACAATATCAGAGCTTTGTTTTTCTTGAGTAAGAGTGGATTACCCCTTTCTCTTGACAAGACATAAGCGTATTAGAAGTTTGCGGATTACCCACTTCTAAACTGATATTGTTCTTAGTATCTTCTTTGTTATCAAGTCTTTCTTTTCTTTTGTCTTGAGCAGTATCAAACAAATTTTTCTTCTTAGTATCATTATGGCAGAGCTTGTTGAAATGAAGAGTGCAATGGGACAAATGCAAGAGCAAATGAGGGAGTTAATGCTTGCGATGCATCAACTCAATTCACTAACACAGGAAAGAACAAGAATAGCAAAAAGTGGGGATATAGAGATGATCGGAGCTGCTTCAACATCTGCAACAAATCACGTTCCTTCTCCAATTGTACAACAACCTGTAAGCACTAGAGAACCAAGAATTGCCTTACCCAAGAAATTTGATGGTACGAGATCAAAGTTTCGAGGGTTCATCAATCAAGTAGAATTGGCAATTGAACTTCAACCGCAAAGCTATCCAACTCCAGGATCACTAGTCAGGTTTATTGGCACTCTACTTTCTGGTTCTGCATTATCGTGGTTTTCGTCTTTTTTTGAATAACGAAATCTAATATTGGACAATTTCGAAGCTTTTTTGGCGGAGTTTCGATCTATGTATGGAGAACACGATGCAACTCGTGTTGCAACAAATAAGATCCGAATTCTGCGACAAGGAAATCGCTCAGTAATAGTGTATGCTTCACAATTTCGACAACTTGCAATTGACATCAAGTGGGATGATGCTGCACTCATCAGTCAATTTCTTTATGGATTGCAATACGAAGTAAAGAAATTGATGCTCAACTTACCTGATCCTCAAACTTTGAGTCAAGCAATCGATTTTGCGATAAAATGTGATAATCAACTTTTCGAATTTCGATCCGAGAATCATTCACGCGAACCTCAACGTTATTACTCATTGGCAACATCAACATCTTTGCCAAACGTACATTCAGAAGTAGAAGACATGCAAATTGACGCGGTACGTTTTAAACCCCTAACTGAGCAAGAAAAGATTCGTCATCGTCAAGAAGGATTATGTTTATATTGCGGAGAACCTAAGCACAGTGCTCAACATTGTCGAAAGAAACGACGCAACTATAAAATGAGGGGTACGATGGTCAAAGAAGACAACATGTTGGAAAACGGATTCGTCCAGTTACAATAGGGACCATGCAGCTGGAACCTTGTACAATTCCTAATGAAGGTCCTATCCTCTCCTCAGAACCCTCTCCTAGTTTTATAATAGACTTATATTTAGGACCTAAGAATTACAAAGCCTCTGCTTTATTAGATTCGGAAGCCTCAGCATGTTTTTTAGAGGACAATTTGTTAAAAGTCGTAAAATACCTTTTATACAGAAACCTAAACCAGTACATATAGAAGTCATAGATGGTCGTCCCTTGTCTTCTGGAGATGTCACTCATGAAACTCATCCTATAAAAGTAATAATAGACGGTCATGATAGCTACATAGCTTTTAACATAATTAAATCCCCGTCCAATCCAGTTATTTTAGGTTTATCCTAGCTAGAAAAATATAACCCTCGAATAGATTGGAATTCGTGTAAACTTGACTTTTCCCAGAGCGTTATTAATAGTTCTACCAACCAAGTAAAAAATTATAAGTCTAGTATAGTAAAACCCGTACTGATAGGTGCAAAAGCATTTATACACGCAGCAAAAGAAGGATCAACTTTTGCTATTTATGCTGCACCTATTTCTGAAAACGTAAAGACTTCAAGTAGCATTCCAAGTCAATATCAGGAGTATCAAGACGTTTTTGAGAAAAAAGAATGCAGATATTCTTCCTGAGCATCGTCCATATGATTGTTCAATCGACCTCAAGGAAGGAACTCAGCCACTATTTGGACCAATTTACAGTTTATCGCAAGATGAGATGGCTGAACTCAAGACATATATTGACGAGAATTTAGCGAAGAATTTCATACGCCATTCAAAATCTCCAGCAGGAGCTCCAATTCTATTCGTAAAGAAAAAAGATGGATCTTTACGAATGTGTGTTGATTATCGAGGACTCAACAAGATCACAATCAAGAACAGGTATCCATTACCTTTGATATCAGGACTCCTTGACCATTTGAATTAAGCTAAGATCTATACAAAAATAGATCTAAGAGGAGCATATAATCTAGTACGGATCAAAGAAGGAGATGAATGAAAGACTGTGTTTCGAACCAGGTATGGACATTTCGAATATAATGTCATGCCCTTTGGACTCACGAATGCACCAGCTGCTTTTCAATATCTCATGAATGATGTATTTCGTGAATTTTTAGATAATTTTGTCGTCTGCTATCTAGACGATATTCTGATCTATTCTAAGAACGTCGAAGAACATGAAATACATGTCCGTCAAGTATTACAAAAACTTAGAGATGCAGGATTGTACGCCAAGATGGAAAAGTATGTATTTCACACTACTCAAGTTGACTTTTTAGGATACATCATTTCAAATGATGGTCTCATGATGGATTCTAAGAAAGTCCAAACAATCATGGATTGGAAGATTCCAAGGACAGTAAGAGATGTCCAATGTTTCTTGGGATTTGCCAATTACTATCGGATCTTCATCAAAGATTTCTCACGAGTTGCAGCTCCACTTACACGCTTGACTAGTAGAGATAAATTCCAATGGAATCAAGAAGCGGAATCAGCATTTGAAGCCTTGAAGACATCGTTTGTTTCTGCACCAATCTTATATCGTGTTGACTTTTCTAAGGCATTTTTTATGGAAACAGATGCATCAGATTTTGCCTTAGGTGCAGTTTTATCACAAATGGGAACAGATGACAAACTTCATCCGATAGCTTTTCATTCAAGAAAATTCTCAGCAGCCGAGATTAATTATGAGATCCACGATAAAGAACTTCTTACGATCATGGATTCCTTTCAAGAATGGCATCATTATCTAGAAGGCGCTTCTAGTCCAGTCACTGTGTATGCAGATCACAAGAACCTCGAGTATTTCATGTCAGCACGCATGTTGAATCGTCGTCAAGCTCGTTGGAGTATGTCTTTGTCAAGATTCGAGTTCATTATCACTTATCGGTCAAGAAAACAACAAGGTTTATCCGATGCCCTATCTAGACGTTCTTATTTTACACCAAAAGAAGGAGATGAAGCTTTTGAGCAACAAAGAACGGTCCTCTTGAAACTGGAGTAATTTCATCTCCGAGCAATGAAATCAACATTGACTGTTGATTCAACTTTTCTCAAGCAAATCCAGTCCAGTATGTCCTCAGACCCTCATGTTCATGATATCGAGAATAATTCTTCCAAGTCTCATGATCCTTCTAAGTTCGAGTTCAAGAATAATCTATTATATTTTGAAGGACGCCTATATGTTCCAGAAGGAGAAGCACGTTTACGTGTTCTTCAAGCACGTCATGACTTTCCAGCAGTAGGGCACTTTGGATATAATAAGACTTTGGAACTCATATCAAGAGATTTTTGGTGGCCACAAATGTGGAAGTCAGTCAAAGACTTTGTACAATCATGTGATATTTGTTCAAGATCAAAAATTCCTCATCATCGATCTTACGGACTTCTTCAGCCATTACCTATATCAGAACAACCATGGTCTTCTGTTTCTATGGATTTCATCACAGATCTTCCAAGCTCAAGATCTTATGATTTTATATTTGTGATAGTAGATCGTTTCACCAAGATAGCACATTTTGTGCCATGTACAAAATCTATCACAGGTGAAGAAACAGCTAAGCTTTTCATTGATAATATCTATCGCTATCATGGATTACCTAAAGATATCATATCGGATAGGGGAACTCAATTTGTGTCAAGATTTTGGAGGACCCTTTTCAACATTTTAAAAGTGGACATAAAGCTATCTTCGGCTTTCCATCCTCAAACTGATGGACAAACAGAGCATGTAAACCAAGTCTTGGAGCAATATTTAAGGTGTACTATCAACTATCAACAAGATGATTGGACAACCCTTCTGCCATTGGCAGAGTTTGCTTATAATAATACAATACATTCTTCCACGCAACAAACACCTTTCTTTGCTAATTATGGCTATCATCCACGACTTGATACTTTTGATTTTTCAAAAGTTGATAATCTTGCAGCAGAAGATATGGCAAATCGGTTGTCAGAGTTACATGCAATAATGAAGACGTAATTGAAGGAAGCTCAAGAACGACAAAAGATAAACGCAGATCTATATCGTAAGGAGCAACCACAAATCAATGTGGGTGATAAGGTATGGCTACTTCGTCACAATATCAAGACTACTCGACCTTGTGACAAGTTGGACTATCGTAGGCTTGGCCCCTTTTCTGTTTCTGAACAGATCAACCCAGTTGCATATCGGTTACATCTACCGGAGTCAATGAAGATCTATCCTGTATTCCACGTGTCTCTTCTTGAACCATATGAGACAGTGGATATACAAGGAAGAAGATAAATGCCACCGCCTCCTATAGAAGTAGATAATAATGAAGAATTTGAGGTGGAAGAGATATTAGACTCGAGGCGGCGCCAAAATAAGCTGGAATATCTTGTTGATTTGCCCGGATATGATATTAGTGAACGCACATGGGAGCCATCCACGAATCTAGCAAATGCATCAGCTAAAGTCAAAGTTTTTCATCAACGACATCCATCAAAATCAAGATGAAAATCTCTCTTATAAAAGAGACAAGATTGAGGCAAGATAACATTCAATTTCCTATCCTTGTTTGTAACTTCTTTGCTTTTGTGACGCTAATTAGATGGAGAGCCAACAACCAGCGGATTCAACTCAAGAACCTTCGTTTGCTGACTTACCGGATGAGACATTGCGATTGTCACAACCTTCAAGACGACGCAGCCGAGATGAAGACCCTCAAGAACGATATGTTCTTCCTCGAATAGATGGTGAGATACAACGCGTTTGTTATCACAACCTTGGAAGAGATTCTCGATGTTTGGTGATATTACTGGAGATAGGAACGACTGTTGATGGTATTTTAAATATATTATTTGAAGAAAGTTATGAAGGCCTCAATAATGATCAAATAACAGGGTGGTCTTGTCGCCCTGGAATGGGACACTATCGATGGCTAAGAGGACCCATCAACTACCTTCGAAGAGAACAGAGATCAGAGTATGTAGTAAATATAATTCGTCGCATATTAGACTTTCTCAACATATAATCACCGCTCCTCGTGGAACTCGTCTCTAGAAGGGGGGGTAATGTCACGGATATACATATAATTACCTACAAGAGTCGATAAAAGTATGTAAAAGTAGATAAAAGTAGGTTAATTATGTAATATCTTCTAGAGAAGCTTCCTAGAAGCTTCATAGACATTGCTTTGACCTTATAGGAGTCCATAGTTGACTTTTAGGTTAGAAACTTGGTCAACAAGTTAGCCATGTGCCACACATGTTGGTAACTTGAAGGACAAGCTAACTACGTAGTCCACTCATAGAAAACTTGCCTTGCAAGCAAAGACATGTGGCCTAGAAAGTCAACACATATTAGAGGTCTTATAGAATATCACCACGTGGCTTCTAGTTAGATAGTATATATAGAGGCAAGAGTGAAGCTCTCTTCACTCTTGTCAACTCCTTTCTTGCTTCTAGTCTAGTTTCAAGGGTCTCTAGTTTTCTTGTCTTTTGGCAATAGCCATTCCAGTTTCTCTTTCAATATATATATATTTGTTTATTTACCTCTCTTTGAGTGAAGGCTCACTTGTCTGAATTATTTTTCATCGAGTTCTTGTCCTTGACAATAAGATTTATGTACAACTTGTAAGAAAATAAAATAAAAGAGAGAGTTGAATAAAAAAACTGATTTATAGATTGTCTAATAGAGAAGAATCACTTATTGTTTATACTAAGAGTCCCTATAATTAATCATGTTGTCATTGGATTTAGTTTCATTTATGTAAATATACATGCTATAGAAGCCTAGGTGAAAAAAATTATAAGATAAGGTTTGATTGTCTTAGAGACTTTGCATTATTGCAAATTCAACCATAATATATCCATAATATGATATACATAGTACAAGTATGAAGAATTAACTTTAATATGAAAGATAAGTGAAAGACTCTAGCTACAAGTTCATCCTAAGTTGCTACACATATATTTCATATTGTTATATGCACATGTAAAAAATGTAAAGGCTTAGGATTAATTAGGTATTGTTATGTGGACCTTGCTACTTGATACAATTAAGGGGAGATTAGAGGGGCACCTCCTTTGGTGGTCTTGCTAACCAATTAGCAGATAGTGTTAAGAAGTAGTGCTCCTTACGAGGACCTCTAAGGACAAAGTTCTTAGAGGAAAATTTGAAATCTAAACCTTATATTTGCAACTTTTTTGCCCATTTTTATTGTATTATACAAGGTTTTTTTAGTTTAAAGATGCAAGTTCATCTTTATTCACCTCATTAGTTGCATATATAACAAATAACCAAACTCAAGTTAGCTATGATTGAAGACGTAAGTGAAGGAGTAACAAAAACACAATAGTATCATATATCATCCTACATATTTTCCTATGAATATAAATTTATAATTAAATATATTTTAAAATTTACTTTTAAGTTCTAAAAAATCAATCATAAATTATCTTGCAATAAATGTATATCTCTAAAGCTAGGAGATAGAGACACTATGAATATATGTTGATGGATATAGATATCATAGATCTTTTTGTTGAGAAATTTATATTATATAACTTGTTTGAATGTCATAGATTCATGAATAATTCTACTTCTTGATAGGCATATGACATACATAACCAAAAGGTGTGAACTTCATACCATGTATTTTTAAAAATATAAGGTGTTTACCAATCTTTGTCTTTGAAGAGACACCAAATGTAAACAAAGTGAGCTTGAAGCTCCTACTGTTTTATAGTATTGCAAAGATTGCAATTAATTGTAATGTAGCAAAATCCATTGAAACTATCAGGTATCCATGATTAGATTTGTGAAGAAGAAACTTGCAATCATTATATAAGGTGAACTTGAGACAAAAGTAGATAAATTAAATAGCCTAATGTTGCACTACAAAGTTGTTGAAGATGTCCATTAGTTGGTAATGAGGGATATACAAGAATCTCAAAAAGATGCTTTAATAGATTGGAACACTTTGCCATATTTATTATGTCCTCTAGCAACAATCTTAGCTCAAAATTCATTTGGTAGTATATTAAAAGGCAGAGTATAGAAAGCATTAATTGAAAACTACATAGAGACTTGAATTAATCTTCTTTGGAGAGTTGAATATGTGGATTGATCTATCTACATAAATAAGGTTTATCATTCACCAACATTAGTAAAAACGTGTTTGGCATGTAATACAACAAACATAGATGTATGTAATCAACTTACAATCATTCTTCTCCACCTATGGCATAAATGAATGAAACAATGAAGCTCAAAGGAGAAGCATATCAAATATTCATCTTTCAAATAGTGATCTATGTGCATTTGAACAATAGTCATATTTAAATTATAATTGCTACATAGTTTTGCACTGCAATGAGATGAGAAAGAATCAACTTGCATCCTCAAAGCAAAAAAAAACTTTGTAAAGTATAATGAAAATCAACCAGGATATAAATAAACAAATTGGAAAACCCTAAACCCTAAACCCTAAACCTGGTTCAAGTTACAACCATGGGCGAAAAAGTCCACAATTTATTCCTCTGCAAACACTAAAACATCTTTCTAAAACATCTTTTCAAGGTTCAAGTTATGACCATGGGCAAAAAAGTCCACAATTTGTTCCTGTGGAAAAGTTACCGACTATACATCAGCCAATACTAAATCATTTTGCCCTCGCATCTCTAACTGGATTGAAAGTACCAAGTTAAAAAAGACTTCAGCGAGCCAAAGTCTGCTTTTAGCTTTCATCCAATTAATCACGCAACTGAACGACTGACCTCCCAGATTACCTCTGAATTCCCTCGTTTTTAGAAAGATTAACGTTTGCACTTCCAGATTAATGTAATAAAGCAATACATTGTTCAGAAACTCTATATTGGCCAGAATCCGGCAGGTCCCTCCACTGAATAGTGTACTTCAAGTTCCACACTGAATAAATGGACATTGTATACAAAAGCCGTGCAAAAATACTCTAGTTTTAGCTGTAAACTCCTGCCATTAATCTGAGTGCATGGAACAGAGATAAACAAACCAATTTTCAATGATCGCTGCTGTCCTCAAACAGAAACAGAAGTCATATAACCTCTGGTTCATGCAGGGTATAAATAAAGAAATTGGAAAATCCGCCAACGTCTTCCTTAGCCTGAAAATATTAGCATCTAATAAGAAATTTGATTAAACCTTCAGTTTCGTGGAAGGTATTGTTCGAGGAACAAAGCCCATTGCACTGTATACGTTTTTAAGTGTAGAATTTGCTATGAGGTTTGCCTTGGCAGCTCCTTCGCCAAGAATACTATCAAGATAACTTTGATCCGCAATGACTTCGCTGTAAGTTTTCTGCACGTGCAAGTTAATAATGAATTCAGTACACTCAGTCCTCGGTAGGACATTGAACCAAACACTCTTTGGAACGTGCACAATTGAACGTATAAGTCCTTTACCTGAATCGGCTGTAAGTGTGCAACCAGGGCATCAGTGAGAACTGGCTTAAACTGTCCCCAGCTCATTTCTCCACATTCAGCAATTACCTCCTGCCCGCATATGAGAGTTGGATCATGAGTAAATTAGAGTAGAATCTTAAAGAAGCCCTCAAGCATGAATACGAGTGAATGAATAGTAACTGCGAAGCATTCTGATCAATTCTAGGACTGTCAAAGTTGAAAGGTCGCTTTGAATCGTAACCCGTGAGTGAATTCGGAACTCGGGTAGCCCAGAATTGGGCTATTGAAACTGGGATTATTAAACTAGCGTATGACTGTAAACTGCAAGTTACGAACCGAAAATACTGTGGTATACCTGCTGAGTCTTCCCGGTAACTTGTTGATAGATTGATAATAGGTTGTTACATTCTGGCCTCTCCACATTTCCAAACTCCATTCTGCATACGCATAAACATCACCCGTTTGAGAACATAGCGGTTGAATATTACAAATAGTCAACCATTGCTCCAACAGCATGGTTACATTTGTCACATGACATTGAAGTGCTTGATAAGCAAAGGTCATTCCAGATCATTCTATAATCCTCTGAATCTCTAGTCAAAATGCTCTTCAAATACAAAACACGTCTGAGACACATAAATACATGATCACCCATCATGGCCTTCAGATAACATACCCTAAGGCGGAGTCTGTCTTGCATCGCTTTATCTTATTCGCTATTTGCTGTTGCGAAGAACACCATCACACATCAAGAACAATGTTGCAAGAACCAACAATGATGAACTGTGAGCACTGAACTGTGAGAAGCAATGAACTGTGAGCACTTCGACAGACGTTCCTCAACGCTTGAAACAACGGCTTACTACACATGTGGAAAGAAGACTATTATAATCTCCTGATCCATATATTAACATATCAATAGTTCGACTTGCAAAATTCATATCAACACAACAAAGAGAGCGTAGTATGCGGCAATTATCACTAATACTTACATCAGGTGTATCAAGAAGGTTAATCCGTGAGAGATCTGAAGGAGCTGATTTTGACATCTGTACATTTAAAACCATCAAACACATTAAATCAACTAGAATAGCTTCATTAGGAGCAACAATATGTAAGCTACAATTGAAAGATTTGCATAGTAAAAGATCAGATACGAATCAGCTCACTTTTGCAGTGCCGTCTGTCAGCGACATAACCCTAGCACACGTCTCAGGGACAAGGGCCTCCGGAACCTAGATAGAGATACAATGAAAGTTAAATGGCAAAAAGAAAAGCTTATCAAAAACTTGAGGATGCATCGAGAATTGTGCATTGAAGACAATTTGATGAGTATTTGGCATATAGCCATCTGCTTGCTACAGCTCCATTGGTTGGGAGTCAAACCTTGAAAATTTTCCCACCTCGTCTGCATCCAAAAATTAACCTCAGTTGAATAAGCCTTCTACGACCTTCCACTTCAACAAAAAAACATAGTGCCTTCGACTTCAACATCACTGATCAGAACTTGGTTTATGAACACAAATCTCTACAAAGATGTTACAATAAGCAGGAGTACCACTAACCCGCCAAGTTTCTTCCATTTTCGGCCACCATAGAGATGGTTGACACGATCAGCCACATCTCGAGTCAATTCGAGGTGTTGCCTCTGATCCTCTCCGACAGGAACAAGGTCAGACTGCCATAACGTAACTTATAGAGTCAAAACTAAGCTCTGAGACTGAAAAGAGACCATGATTGCAATCGTCGCGCAGGATTGGTTTACTAGTAATTTTCTAATCGTCATATACAAGTAAAAAAATTAGTGAGAAGAGGTAGATAATTTACTTGATATAGTATGATATCAGAAGCCATGAGCAACGGATAAGTTAGAAGACCAGTTCCGACATCCTCGCCCTGCACATCACCTCGTGCTAAGTTGCAGGCTAACTTCTGGTAAAATTCACGAGTATATGGGGGTTCCCTTACAACCTTGCAGCTTGGAAATTTCTCAACATGATTAGATGGAGTAGGAGCAAATCAAACCAAGTGGAATACTTACCGATTTGCGGGACTTTTCTTTAAACTGAATCATTTTGTTAAGCCAACTGATTGGAGTAACACAGCTCAACAACCAAGTCAGCTCAGCATGCGCCGATACATGGGATTGGACAAATATAGATGACTGCATCAAAGGCAACTCGGTGAGTACATCAGTCCTGGTGAGCATCAGTATCCAGTTGTGCAATTTAGGAAGTTTGTTTTGAAGTGTAAAAGTGCCAATTTATGTGTTTTAAATTGATCTTGTTCACCTTGGTGGGATCAATGCCACATGCAATGTACAAGGCTGCTGAAGTTCTTGTTGACTTGGTTAATTGCTCAACATCATGTGGCATCGTAATCTGCAAATACGAGTTAGAAAACATGTTCCAAAACCCTTGGAATGAATGTTTGAATCCAAGTCAAAGCAAAGGACGGCTCGAAGTTCCCCAAAATATCCAAAACCAGCTAAACAAATTTGACCTCTGCGAACAGATTGTTTGAAGTTTAGTTTAATACCGCATGGAGGTCAACAACGAGGAAAAGCGTATCGTAAAGATCCTGCGGACACCAAAGAACAAAAGCTAATTACGAAAATAGCAGAATCAGAAGATAAACCTTCCACTCTGAAGCACAACATATCATCTCCCTGGCATCCAAATCAACCGTTTTAATTTGATAGCTGTACTGGTGGGAGGTTTTGTGATTGAGAAGACCAGCTCAGTTACATATAAATTTCAAGATTCACGTACAAAAGACTATATTTTAGAGTACATTACTCAAATTCATAAGCTTGGTTCGACTTTGAGCGAATCGGCGTCTTGGGATATATGCAGGTCAGCAATCATGAGTCTAGGGTTTTGAATTCAAATCTAATGCAAAAAATAAATTACTAACAAATCCACAACTAAGTATCAAAAGATTTATCAAGCACTAGCTTGATGGACCCCGAGTTCATTGGTGGAAATAAAGAAAAAAGGAAAAAAAAAAAGGAAAGCAGATACGCTTAGAAGAAGAATGGAAACTGATCACGAGCATTAGTCACGTGGAATCCAACCGCTGCAGAAGCATTGCTCAGAGGATTCACATGATAACGAACTCTAAACAAGATCTCATTACTGGTTCTGTTACGTGAATTGTGACACAAGAGGCTTCAGAACCCTAGCCATGAAGGTCCTTGAGAAAAGTTCAAAATGAAATGATTGTTAGCAGGACAAACCTGCAATCCAACCCATGACTTGATCGCCCCGAGATAATTTCCCAAATGAATCGACCCCGTCGGTTGTACACCCGAGACAACACGTTTCCTGACCCAAAACTTCACATTACGATTTCAATGGCGTAAAAGTAAAGGACAGAGGGTTCTTATGCGAGTTAAAAGCAAATGTAGGCAGCTCAATTGAGATAAAATGTATCATTAGTCAGCTTAAAAACTATGCTCTAAGTGCTAGAGGCTATTTTCTTCCACCATTATTTACACGCTTTGCCCACATTTTAGGTTCAATTCAATAGCAAACGACAAGCAATTACTGCGATATTACATACGAAATCAAATTCATACGATTATAATTCAACAATGCCGCAGTGACCAACTACCAAGAAGAAAAGATCAATAATTCAAGGTTTCATTAAACATGCATTTTGGATCACCCCTTTTCTCTGCCGCGAACAAACACAAGTCCCACTCCACGACCCAATGATAGTGACAATGACAAGTTTTCACGTGAATTTCAGAAAATTACTTGGTGACGGCTACATTCTCTAACGGCTTCTCAGCTGTTGATGAATTCGACACAGCAGAAGCAGCCAAATTCGCCCTCAACAGCGGTCGCCATAATCCTCCCGGCAGCCCAACATTAATTCCAGACCTGCTATGAGCACATCACAGAAGAACATACACTTCTGATTTCCACGCCATGATCAGAAAAATCGATACCTCTACAAAAAAAACAATATGAATCCAGAACGACTTTGAACTGCATTAATCCTGGAGCGGACACTCTCGCAACCAATCAACGGTTTCCGAGCTGGACTGTAATCACGTGTGGACGCAAAAGTTCATACGGATTTTTTGAGAAGAGAGACGCGGAGCGCAACAAGGTCGGGGGAGCCGCGGTCAGGCAGGCTCGCGCCATCGCTGCAACAATCACAACAACTCAAATGGGATTCGGTGAAGCTGAGAAATCGAAGAAGAAGACGCCGACGACGACGAGGAAGACGATGAGGCGGCTCTCGTGAAGCTCTCTCTCGCTATCCGTGATCATGGGGTCCCCTTTCCCCCACCACCGCTGGAACCCATAACCGCGTCACCATCGTGAGAACTGAAGTTCCCACCACGTGAACCGAATGGAGTACATGTTCCTAATGGCATTGCCCAAACCACTCATGACGAACGCCAACTGTCGTCGACGAGCGAGAAAATATCTCGTTGGTTTTAGGACGAATATCGTCCCATTGTCGTCCTATGCTTCTGCACGTTCCACCAGAAAGAGGACAAGGAAATTAGGGTTTAAGCTACCGTTGAGTTTCACATTCGTTCACATGTGATTAGGGTTGTTTGTTGGTACAAATCAATCACTATATGGGTTGATTTGCAAATAATATCATTCGTGAACACAATTATCATGACCTGAAATAATATCTTTGAATGATGTTTGCTTGAGAGATAATGTTTAACATATTATAATTTTGTCTCTCACAATATTTTGATGTATAATGCAACTCAACATCACTACAAGTTTGTAACAAAAAGATCAATGAATTAAATTGTATAGTATTTGCTTGCATTTTAATGTGGTTGCCACTCCTTTTTGTCATTTATAATATCACTTGATAAGAAGTTTATAATTTGGTAGTTTCACATTTTTTGCAAAATGCATGTAATAATGCTTAGAACATAGAATCTTGCATATGACAAAGTTTAAGCAATCAAAAGGTAAATAAACAAGTCTTCAAAAGAAGAGGATTTTTTTTATTTATACATTCCATAAAATATTATGTATGGCAACAAACAAAATTATTGCATTTAAAAAGTGCATAAGAATTCATTGTAATAACCATGTTTCTAATAGTTGTAAAAAAAAACCTATAAGGTTATTGAAAATCAAGTAAAGAATAATAAAGTATATTTAATAATTTATATATTAACTTATATACTATAATTTATAAGAATCTTTATATATATTTTATGTATAAAGGAGTTGAGAGCTTCTATTGACAATATATTCTAAAATTCTTATAAAATACATAAAACAAATTATTTCAAATAATTTTCTTCTTAAAGATAAATTATTCTTCAAAGAAATTTTGAAGTAGATAAAATTATTAGCCAAAAATAACCAAAATTTGATAAAATAGAATTTGCCTAAACACATTAAATATAATACAATTTTTAAACTTAAAAATAAATTTAAATAGATATATATTTTTAAAATATGAAAAAAAAGATATTAGTATTTTAGATATTTTTATTTATGAAATAGAAAAAAAGATAAATCTACTCTTAATCAAGAAAAGAAAAACCTCTAATATTGTAAGTATATTCTTGTCAATCTGTCAAAGACATGAACTAGAAGAAGATACATAAATCTGAAAAGTTTGTTTTAAAAGAAAAGTAAAAAAATAGCAATAAATTAGTATGTATATTAAAAAGAAATTGGAATGGCTATTACCAAAAGACAAGGAAACTAAAGACTCTTAAATCTAAATTAGAAGCAAAAAAAGAATTGACAAGAATGAAGAAGGCTTCACTTTTTCCTCTATATATACTATCTAATTAGGAGCTACGTGGCGATGTTCTATAGCACCTCTAATATGTATTGACCTTGTAAGATACATGCATTAGCTTACAAGGCAAGTTTTTTACATGTGGGTGTGATTGTTATTTTACTTTTTTATAATTTCCTTCCAGAATAAACATGTATAGGGGAATTCAAACATAGGGAAAGACTAAGCACATGAGTTTTACTTATTAGGATCACACAGTTAACTATATTCTAAACCACTAAAACACTAAAAAATAATACAATACTTCCTCCCAGTAACAATACTCCTTCATAAACTGATAACCACAATGTGCAACCCTACACTCTCAAAAGACCACTCAAAACTCAATAAATTCCATTCAACACCAAGAATAACAGACTTCATTCCAATCAATTTGAATTCACAAAATTCCTGTAATCACAGACTTCCTCTGTCGAAACACACACACAACTCTCAATAAACAACAATCATAATCTTCCATCCATAATCAATCTTCCAATAACTTCTCATATAATTCAATCACTCAATACTCCAATTACATAATCAATAACTCATAAATCAATCTATGATTTATTCCACAGACTCACTTCTCAATATTCAAAAACTATCCATTAGTCTTCAACAACAAAAGAAACAAAGAGGAAGCACCAAGCTTAACTTTGGCTTATGACTATCACAATCTGACTCCCCGATAAATTTCTACAACTCCTATATAATTGCTACTGATTTCTAGATTCTAACCATTGTCATATGGCGTGATTTGCTATTTGGGAATACACTAGGTATCTAGCTGTAGAAAGTGTACCTTAAACCTTTATATGATTCTTTTCTTGGCTTCCAAAACTCCTTTATTTTGTATAAAACTCCAAATATAACAAAATCCCTTCAAAACATATTTTTCCGGCGAAGGGTTTTCTCGCCCGGAACTTTAGAAAATCATAACTATTGATCTAACCGTTCAGTTTGTTTCAAATTTACAAGATAGGTAGAATTTACCCTTCACTTGTACCACAAAAAAAACCAACCGCAAATTCACTCCCGATCTTCTGGCATCTAAGAAATCCTAGCAGACACTCCAAACCCTAATTTACAAGCACCCGAAAACTATTTTCCTTATATCTCAAAAACCCAAACTTCAAATGTCATAAAACTTATGCACAAAGTTTACTAACATGAAATTACACGTTCCTTGAATTTTTGAGCCAAAATCTCACAAAATTGCTCAAGATATAGCTCAAGAGACAAACACTAGTAATTCGGTTTACTTACTACCCTTAGATTACATGTGCTAACTTCAAAATCCAATAACTCCTTCACCCCAACTTGGAATCCAGTAAGCAGTATGTGAAAAGTATAGCCGCAAAAGTGTTCTCTCCAGTCACAGTCGCCGATCCTCAATTGCCATCCGTATGCGTGCGTTATGCTCAAAAGAGTGATAGTAGGTCCAAAATTAACATCTTAACTTTGAGCGCCTATAACTTCTTCATAAAAACCCCAAATGACACAAAACTTGCACCAAAACCTTAATCAAAACCTAAAACTTCTGACCCTAGCCTTCAAAGTTTGAATGGCCTCGAGAAACTAACCCTAATCCCTAATATGGCCTCGGGCAGCCTCCTCAAAGCCCATTGGTCATGATTTTTGACCAATAGGAATGGAGATTTTTATTTTTCATCTCCATTCATCTATATTGGTGCCCTAATTCCTCCCTTTGCTACCAAAATCCTTCTTCAATCCTTTTTCTTATAAGATTTACATAATGTATGCTCTAAACACCAAATAAAAGAACCAAAATAAGTTTTTAAATGTCATCAATGTCTAACAAAGGTGACTCTAAATAGTTAGAAGTTACTATCAACCAAAACCAATCTTAAAAGCCACTATCAAAAAGAAATTAAAGTTATAAAAATTCTATAGTAATCTTTTTAAACAACCTCTTTTCAAAGTAATAATCAAATTATATTCTACAACCAACTAAAATCTACTAACATGGCTCTTACCATGTTACTTAATAAATTATATATTAAGTACATAATTACATTATTTTCATATAGTAGCCGAACCACAACACGACACCGTAATCCTATAATAACCACTTTTAATAACTGAATCAATCATCCGTCCTCCTAAACTGACTATTCTATGGACTATTAATTTATTTTACCAATATCTTACAAAAACGAACTAATATCTATTCTACATAGTCCCACTCCTATCTGTGCAGCATCTTCGTAAACACACAATTGATTCTTATCTAAAAACTACTTAACAAAATTCTATAAAATTACTAATTTCTCTAGTCCATCCAATTAATCATTTGCTGCATTATCGAATGTAGGTTCCATCAATTCTAGTTCTAAATTCAAATTTTCTTCCTCCTCCAATCCATCCATCGGCTCCTTCCTCAGCTGGTTTGATAGATCTTCATTATACTCATCCAATTCACAGACTTGAGCCTCCAGTTTCAAGATCTAGGCATCACGGAGTTCCAACTGATGCTGCTGCTAACTCATCCATTCTGAAACATCTTCAATTGACACTTGAGACTAACTTCTCACTCCTAATTCTTCGATCAATTTTAACACCTCAGCTTGTAAAACTTTGATTTTGGACCTCAACTTCTCCATTTTTGCATTTGGATTGGTCACTCAATGCTTCTTTCTTTCTCGTCAATAACTCTACCTTGTCTCCTTCCGCCTGCAACTGGCATTTGAGTTTCTTCCATTTCAAATTCCATGTCTTGTAATTCTGGATCAATTCGTTCCATTATCCTTCCACAATCCATAAGATGTGTTTTTTTTTTTTATCCAAGATTCATATTGGTGAACCCATTTTCGCTCCAATATCAACTTGGATTTCCAATTTTGTTTATCGTCCATTTTTGCTCTTCAATTCTTTGATTTTGCTCTGATATCACCTTCTTACTGTCCTCTAAATCTCGTTTGCTACTACCCTCTACATCCAATGCTCGCACCATACAATGTATTTGTAAAATGTGCTTTAATAAAGCATTCTTAAGAGGTATTCCTTTGGATAATCGACCTTGTGGAAACGCCAACTGATTAATATCCATCAAAATTGGGGTTTCATTCTCCTCGTCCATTGCTAAACGAATTGGAACCCATTTTGATTCAATAACTAGAACAACCCCTTGTGCCACTGTACGACTTGACTCCCCAATTTCGTGTATTACCTCTATTGTATTGACATTCTATGCCAATGAATTTTGTTCTCTCTACGGAGGCACTGGCATTGGCACTGGTATAGGACTGTCTTCTAATGGCATTGTTTGACGTAATGTGTACGCGATCACAACATACACATAATTGGAACAAAGCAAATAAGTAAATTTCTCTAATTTCTACTTGACTCCTATCTCCGCATGAATATGAGTGGCTACGTACGCTACCCAGTTGAACACCATCCTTTCTAGTGCCCCTACTATTGCATACAATAATCGTTTA